CGCTGTTGTCGATGCTGTAGTTGACGCAGCCGACGCCACTTTCGTGTCCACCTCTTTGCTGTTGATGGATGGAAGATTTGACAACACGCAGTTTGCAACAGATGACACAATAAATTTGATCATGTAACGTAATTTTCGATATTGTAATGTTATAACTATTGTTGTCATGTTCTCTCCCTTTCTCTCTCTCCTCTCTTTCTCTCTCTCTCTCTCTTTCACTCTTTCTCTCCTCTTTCTCTCTCCTTACACACACACACACACACACACACACACACATATATATATATATATATATATATATATATATATATATATATATATAAGTTAAAATCAAAAGTAACCTTCAGCCCATCCTCAATAAACTCAGTAGCAGTAGTACTAGTACTATTACTATTACTGCAGTTAATAATGTAGACAGTATTGGTGCTAGTAGTAGAATTTGACATTGAGTTTCTACACTTCATGTTCATGGTATTAGCGCCAGATGATGATGATGATGATGAGGAGGAGGGCTGTGACAATGGTTGTAATTTCTGTATCGTCTTCATCATCATCATCAAAGATGATGCTGGTGGTGGCGGTGATGATAATAATGATGATGACGATGACGCTTTCCTCTGCTCTGATATAAAAGGTTGTACTGATGACGACGACAACGACGATGATGGCTGTTTTGATGATGATGACGATGTCTTTGATGATGATGATGATGATGATGATGATGACGATGTCTTTGATGATGATGATGATGACGATGATGATGTGGTAGGAGTAGTGACTGTGGGAGCTGTTGGTTTTTTAAACTTCAAGCTGATAACTGTTGACGACTGACTCTGCTGCTTGCTCTGAAAAAAAATTGGATTGAAAAACATCACCATCATCATAATCCAAACCACATCTATCACAATCATCATCATTACCATCACCACCATTATCATCATCATCATCATAATTAACCTCCTTGTGAAAATAGTCAGGCAAAACCATCCTTTTAATTTTACTACTATTAGCAACATTACCATAGCCACTGCTATTGGCTGCTGTACTACTACCACAATTCTTCAATCCAGAGATACTCACTCTACCGGACGTAGATGACGACGACGTCTTCAAGGTGTGGCCGACGGGCTTGAGGCCAGAGAATAATAGAGACAGGTGGCGCTGCTGATGAGTCTGCTTATCCTTCTTACTTTCTTTAAAACATTCTGGTAGGTTGTCCTATGTTTAACATTTTTGTGTGTGTCTGTGCGTGTGTGTGGGTGTGTGTGTGTGTGTGTACGTGTGTGTGGGTGTGTATCAAATTCTCATCAATATACACATAAGAATCTTGAAACAAAGCAACACAGCAAAAATATGTAAGCACATGAACTTGAAGACAAAGCCAAAGAAATGCTAACATTTGTAAAATCTTTAACTGATGACTCCTCCAGCCTACAGAACAATGACTGTTTGTCACTCAGCACTTCCAAATTCTTACAGGCCAGACATATTTTCAACTGTTTCAATTGTAATATTAAGAAAAAAAAAACTAGTCAGTATTGAAATACTGTTATCCAAATTAGCAGAGAGTTAATGTATTAATGATGATATATAACAAGAAAATAATGGAGATAGTACTCATGACCTTGAATGGCAATAACTGTTATAAATATATAATTTATAAATTATCAATTATAATTACTACAATTTCAAAATTCTGCTTAAATTGCTATAAGTTAACAACAAATAAATAGATAATAACTAATGATGACAAATATATATATATATATATATATATATATAATACACCCCCATCCCATTATGTCATATCATATATCATATATATTCTGTTTAAAGTTTTACACTAATGTAAAATGTGATTCAAAACTACAGCAGCCAAACAAACAAACACACACACGCACCCGCACACACGCACGCACATTCCACACGCACACGCACACGCACACACATTA